TATACATTACAACTGGCTGGCTACCTAGCAATGTTGTGATCGACCACTACACATGCAAAATGAGATAGGCATCAAGAATTGAAGAGGAAAGTAAAGGAAAGTTCTCAAAAATTCTGCGAAAAGACTTGGAGAAGTTTTCAAGACTGGAGAAAACTTGTACGGCCCAGAGAGCTGATCTAGAGACTGTTACTCAAAATATACTGCATTTGTGGGAAAAACATTTATACAGCCTCGATAAGGGCAGTAAAATGGGAACACCAGAAAATAGTGAACTCGATTGGGTTAGAGCAGATTTCTCATAGCCCAACTACGAAGGAGTTCGAATAGCGATCGCCCGTTTGAATAAAAACACAAAGTGGCTGGAGCCGATGGCTTACCGGCTGAGCTATTTCAACATGGCGATGGAGAACTGACAAGGAGCATCAGCTTCTTGCAAAATATGTTCGGATTAAAGCATGCCCGTTGATTGAAACCTACGTGTAAGTAAGCACTATCCAATCAACAAAAGAGATATCCCACAATCTACGCCAAAAACGCTGGGATGCGTTTCTTGGGTTGTGTGGATTTAGACCTGGTAAATCAACCATTAACCAGATATTCACCATGAGCGAAATCTTAAGACCCATGAAAAGAAGAACGACACCCACCACCTCTTCGTCGATTTTAAAGCCACCTTCGACAGCACTAGTAGGAGCTGCCGCTATGCCGCTATATCTGCATTTAGTTTCCCTGCAAAACTTATAGAGCTATGTATACAACACAAGAAGTTACTTCAGGATCGGGAAGGACCCCTCCGAGCCGTTCGATACCAAACGACTTTTCAGACAAGGTGATTCCTTATCGTGATTCATTAATAGTGAAAATAATAACATCTGCTGAGCGAATTAGAGAAGCTACAATCTTCTATAAGACAAATTCGGCCTCAAAAACCGCGCCGTGAGTTCTGCTTTCTCCAGGCTGGATAACGAAGCGAAGCGAATATTTCTGGTAGTGTACAAGGACAAGACAGTTATCGACTTGGCTCCCACGTCACTGTTGAAAGTCATAACTTCGAGGCCGTGGTTATTTTCTTCTATCCAGGAGCCAGGAGCCAGTATCCACAACAATAAAAACCTCAGCCTTTAAATCCAATGCAGCATCACTCTTGCCAACAGGTCTTACTTTGAACTGACTAGGCAACGGAAAAGTAATGTTCTCTCTGGACGAAAGCAAACTCACAAGTTTTCCATCGTACTCGCCCTGCTATATGGTGTCGAGGCATGCACGATGTCAACAGCTGATGAGTCCGCTATAAAAGTTTGTGAGAGTGAGGTTTTGTGAAAATATGGTTCGTCTGTGGAACGATGATTGTACGAGTTATGCGGTATCAGTGGCATAATTCAGCGAATCAACATACAGCAGCTGCGCTGGCTTAGTCAAGTGGTCCGAATTGATAAGAATGATTCCGCATTGAAAGTGTTCAAAGCATTACTCGCCGGCGGAAGCAGAGAAAGAACAAGACCCCCACTGCCTTGGAAAGACCAGGTAGAGAAGGACCTGGCTGTACTTGATATTTCCAATTGTTTGTTTGTTGTGTTGTTCAGGCAACTGACTGACTAATTGGAGTTGCTGGGCAAACCAGTTGTGCGGTAGTTCTTGACTAGTTTATCTGACTGCTGGTTATGGCTATATAAGTATGTATGTGTGAGCATCTCGCAATTTTTTTCTAGTCATTTAATGACAAAAGTTTATCTTTCTGTCTGCTCGTCGTAGCAGAGATGGCACACTTCAAAAATATTATTTCAACATTTCCCGCTTCCTCTTCATAGACTGTTAATGTGCGTGAGTACTATTCGTATATGGATGTATTTATGTACATGTGAGTGTGTGTGCTTTATGTATGTGTACTTAAGTAAAATGTTTTTTTTTTTTTATTACGGCACATTCCCCGCGTTAATGGTGTCGAAGTGTCAAGCGTTTACGACTACATTAAGGGCAGTTAGTGAGACGGGGAGGAGAGGAGAGCAAAAGAAAAAAGGCGACGAAAGCCATTACACATTGCCTAAGGTATATTTACATATATGTGTGTGTATATTTGAAAACTTCAATTTACTTGCGATGTTTTTAAGTTAAAAAAATTATAATAATTAAAAGTGATTTAAGTGAATTAATAAGTCGGCTTAAGTAATGGTTTTAAGTTGTTCAACGCCATTCGGCGATAATAAAGAATTTCAGTCACAAAATTTACGAGGGCTCAACAGTTTTTTTTTTTTTGTTTTTTTGAAATTACTTTTTCCTGAGACTAGTTTGTCAGAGAGGGGAAAAATATATGATAAATTTCTCTAAATAAAATGATTGGTTGGTTGAAGTGATTACTGGACATCAGCTCACTTAGCCAGAAAGCGGGCTCATTGTGAAACCACTGGCTCCCGCTATATCGCTCATGTATCTAGAAGTAGCCGCCCCACTTACTTCAGCTCAGTCCTTCAAAGTGGAGGCGTTCGCATCGAAAGTGCCTCAAGGTTTCAGGTTCTTTTTCTGCTCTGCAACTTCTGCAGAAATCGTTGGATAATACTACTAGTCTCTCTGCGTGCCTGCCGAATAGAATATGCACTGTAAGAAGGCCTATTATTATAGATATCTCCTTCTTTTTTTTACTCAATGAGGTCACTTGAGCTTCTACCTTTCCCTTCGGGCCTTTTTTTATAAATAAATTAGTTTTGCTTTAATCCAGAAATTAAGATGGTCCCTTGTTTTCTTTGATCCTTGGCTCAATGAAACTATGTTGACCCTTGATAGCGTTTCGGAGACGTCGGTAATCTTCTTCTCCCAAAGTTAGATTTCTGGTTCGACCAACCCTTTAACAGGGAATGTCAACCCCTCCAGTGTATTTCTGACATGAAATAGAAGCTCCTCAAAAAAAGTCAATTGGCCTGAAAAAAACTGTAGGTCCCTCCATTTGTGGGAAAAACATCAAAGCACTCACTACAAATTGGAAGAGGAACTTGGCCGAAAATCGCTTTAGCGGGTACAAAGCACCAAGTTATTAGTGGTAGATATTATCATTCTACTCGTATAGCTGCTTCAATGTGTTTTACGATCTCAGCCAAATATGTGCTGGAAACAGATATCAAAACTCAGAGGAGTTTGGAAAAAAAGATAAATCCATTACTGGTGGATCTTTTTCAAACCAAACTGACGAGACTCGTTAGTTTCAAACCCGTCATTCTTATAGAGATGTAGACGACATTAACTTCGCGTCCACATTTAGCTACTTGTACTTGGATAGGTATGTTGGTTCTACAGAAATCTAGAGCAAATATATTTTGGTTTTTTTTTTCTGAAGGAGGATGTTTGAAGAATGTTTGTGGCCGTAGGAGCACAAACTTTCATTGAGATTTCGGGCAATTTTCAGGTGACGCTTATAAAGGTAAGACTTCGGGAAGTTAAGTTTACGGTTATCTCATAGTTTGTAAAAAACGAGGATTTTACAAAACCTTGTCTACGTGCCTACGTCTTGCGTAGCTAAATCGGTTTCTAGCATATTTCACGAAGGTGTCGTTTCAATACATGCGATAGAAAATATCTAAGGGTGGAGAGCGGGTAGTTTCTACAGTGATCACAGCTAGAAGAGGGGCTTTCAAGGGATAGCGACTGAAAGATGCATGTACTGCTTAGCATAGAATTACGAGGTAACAATTTGTCCAAGCAAGCAGGTAGCTTGAGTTTTCGTCGACTTCAAGTTACTTAGCAGTAATTTTATTCGACAAATTTCTAACTTAGCCATTTGTTGTGTCCCGAGTGTCATCAAAATCGCTGAGTATTTAAAAGTGACCTTAGAGACTACATGAATCGGCGAATGTGAAGGGGTTTCCATGTAAACGCATAAGATCAGATAGTTGTGATGCCAGAAAGCCTAAAAATACTTTTGACCCTAGATCTTTTTTCATTTGGTGAATCATTAGGGCATGTCACAAGTCTGAAAAATTGCTTCATGTCAGTTGTCCATTAACTCCTCCGGGTTTGTTAACTTATGCGTTCCTATAATTTCAGTCCCCGCCTCGCAAATACAGCACAGATCATAAGTAAGTGCTTAGATGATTCCATCTCTTTTTCCAGAGAAATGCGGTTGTTGGTTAAAATCTCAACCTTTCGCGCGTGAACTCCTATCGAAAAGTGTCAGGCAAGAACCACCACTATATGCGAGAGTGTTGATCTGGTAATGGGTAGGAGCTTTTCTTTTTGTGAAACCAAGTATTTTGAGGCGCTAGCTCACTGCCGGTTGAGTTGGTTCAAGTACCAGCTGTTCGTCGGCTGGCCATATATTGACAGTGGAGCATTTCGAAGTAGTAGCAACTATGCGCGCAAGTGAGCCTAAGTCTATAATAGGCAATTGGTTATTGTGTGTTCACCAGTCTCTTAATACCAGCACTGTGCCAGAAACACTGTCCATCGTTGGGTAATTCTGGATAGAAGACACTCTCGCCGATTTTTGCTTCAAGCTTCGACTTATCCAGACAGAAGTTAAGTGCTGATTTTCTCCAATAACTACGTTCTTTATAGTACCGTCGGGGATTACGGTGTAAAAAAAGTCGTGGTAGCTAGTGAAGAAATAGAGCTTATTAAGGACTGTACTAGACTTGGCGTTAGGCGCACGAGTAAGAGTAGTTCCTGTGCAGATGACAGCTGTGCGTTGAACACATCCCATTCGCTAAGCTTGAGCAATCCTTTCTGCGAACTCATTCTGCACGAACACCTCGCAAAGCAAAAAAGTCTTCACTGTAGAAGATCCATAACTCTACTCTGACAATTATGGTCCTGAAACAGAGTAAGTCTACCCATGCCACTTCCCTTGTTTCCTCAATGTATGCCCCCTCCAATTCGTGATATGTGTCTTGATGTTTTTCCTATATACAGAGAGAATTGTGGTTTATTGCAACCTGTCTCCGAAAGGGCGATGGAGTTTATGGAGGAGCTTTTATTTCATGTCAGAAATACACACGGTCCTAGATGAGCCTGAGTTATTTCACAGCTTCGGAGATGGGAGTCGTTCGAGTCATCGAAGGAGAAAATCCTGTCGGAATTAAATTTTTCCTGATGAATAAGACAAGTACTGCCATACCACTTGAGGCTTTCCCTTTTGTTGTAGCATCTAGATCCTCGCGGAGGGCGTTATACAGATTACATAGTGAGCATCCTTTGTAGCCAGCACTTTCCATCTCCTTAAGAAAGTCATGGAGAACTTCAAAGGGCAGCACACGATCTAAAAAACCGCACAACTCAGGACATAGGAGTTCAAAAGAGAAAATACTTTCAGCCATAATGAAAACCTTTTGATTAGCCCTCGCATTTTTCTTTCCTTGTGTCCACTAAAGAACAAAAATTTCAAATTAATTTAATTTTTTTTCCATCGTGTTATTTTTTTTCTCTTTTTTAATGTCTCCGCCAACTGTCACCTCACCTGCACCGCCATTTGAACTACCCTCTTCACCCTGCCTCGCACAATCGGGGCTACTGCTGCCTGCCTTCAACTCAATTCGCGACAAAGTGCACTTTTGACACTTGAAAAATTTATCTAACTTTTCACATAAAGCCGTTTGTGACAAATGTAATGTCAAATTACACGCATTAAAACTGTATAAAAGTTGACAGAACAACAAAAGACAGTAACAAAAAACAAAAAATGAGAAAAAAAATTATAATCGTTTATACTTTGTTTTTGTCTTTTGTGTTAGCCAAAGTGTACGAAAGCGAAAGTTTCAGGTGTCGAAATGTCAAAAGCATTAACATTGACCTCTGCACCCGCCCTAAGTGTGTGGCTCTTAATGCGTATTTACGTGTGTGTGTGTGTGTGTGTGTGTGTTAGTTGCCGGCAGAAAAGTGAAAACTCATACAAACTAACATACATACATGTATACAGGTAGATATATTTATATATAAAGCATATGCAGTCAAATGTGTTGACATCAACGGATCTCAAGCAGATACCAGTCGGCGACGGTCGGCCGCCTCTGATGAGTCTGAGGAGTCTGAGGAGTGCTGCTGGCTCTGGGATGTAAGCTGAGAGATGTAACTGCGCTCGGCATGTGTCGTGTATGAATGTTTGATGAGTGACGAAAGCTTTTAGCTTCATAATCTCTCTCAGATTGACAAACTTACTCAGAGCATGGGTGAATGAAACACGGCGGCAGCATTTAAATATTTTATTAATTTATCGTTTAGCATTAATATTTTATGGCCAACTGTAAGTCAGTTGCAGACATTTTCCTCACTAACTTTCACTCAATAAATATAAATCAGAAAAGGAGCTGCCGATTATGGAGAGATTTGGTATTCATTACCAGGAAGACGGTGACTTGTCCTGAACTTTAGCAGCCTTTTTCCTTCTTGTTATAAGTTCTTCTCTTCTTCACCTTATGGGGTCTGTTGACCAACTTATAAAGACACCATGGAAGTGGGTTAAAGCTCAAGTGCTATCTCACCGCTACAAACATTCCGTCGGAGAGCGGGCGGTACGTGAAAGTACTTTAATGAGTACACTCGCCTTCGACGGCGTTTTCAGATTACTGCAAAAGACTCTACACAAGTTTCTCTTTATTTTACTTCGATCGTTTTTGTAGTTCCTTGGTGGTGGTTCCTTGTGTTTGACCCGAAACTTCTTTAGAGAGGAAACAATAAAGTAAAGACTTATTGAAAATGCGAGTCCCACAATGGTAGTCTCTGTTTTCCCCTAGCAATCTTGGCTGGAAATGCTTTGCCCAGACCTTCGGAAATGGCACTTGTGAGCAACATTACTAACTCTTCCAACTCTTCACTCTTTGCAAACTTTAACGGTATCAGGGATACAGAAATCTGTGATTATAGTTTGTGCCTTTACAATTGCCAATCTGGGCCTTCTTCAAATTTCTCATGGGTATAATTTTTGAAACAATTTTATCTGAGTCGTATTCAATATACTCTTTTAGGAGCCTCCAGTTCCTTATCGCCATTTGGGCTCATACAAAGTTCAGGGTGACGTTTATAACTCTTCTTTTTGCTTACTAATAATATAATTCGGGTCCAATTTCTTTGTGGCTCATAATGAGTACCGACGCCAGAATTAAAAGCAAAAATAACTCATTCCTTCTTTTCTTGTACTGCTTTTGCTATGGTCGAAGCCAGTATATTGCCTTCTCGTCCATAAACATGAAGAGTCCAAAAGTTATTTCTCCTCCTTTTCTGTCCAAGACTAGAGGTAAGCTTTCGTTGAGAGTCAGCACTGCTTCAGGTTTTGCCATGGTGCTTGGTTACACCTTCCAATTCTGTATTAAAAACCGTAAACAAATTATATTATTAGTCAGGCTCTTCGGGCTTAACGGTAGCCAGTCTTCGTATTTCTGCATTAACTACACTGGGGTCAGTGTTATATCGAGGAATATCCCCTTTCTTGTCCCTCTAAGTGTTGGCTATTTGATTTGTGATGAGTCCAGCATAACCGGTGAGCCCGATCCACAGTTCTATGTTGTCTTTCAACGACCTAGGAGAGTAACCTTCCTTGCACTGGCACTTTGAGCTTCACCACTTCAGGTTTCTTTGAATTTCTTCATATTGTGATGTTTTATAACAGTATTTTTTACTTATATGTCATCCAATTCGTTCCTAGCGCCAGGTGTAGCGGATGAAAGGTGTGCCTATCCAAACAGAGATGTGCAGTACTGAATTAAGACCATGAAAAGATCCCGGTGAGAGCAGTCTTCCAGAGACTACTGGGTTATTTCAGAGCCACAGCCAAACTGCGATTTTCCAAGACCAAGAGGAAACACCATTTCCAGCCAAGAGAGTTGCCGAAGGGCGTAAGCGCATAGCACTGATTCCTGATCACACTTAAGTTCCCTCCCGGCAATGTACGACTTTGCTATATACAATAGTTTCAGATCAGGTTTCCGGTAGTGAATCAAGCGGAAATTCAGCCAATTAAGTCCGTCACCAAAAAGTTTAGCTTCGTTAGAACATGCAAAAAAGGCAATCAACACACCATCGCTATAAAACAATGAATATCACTTGGGTACCAGGTAGAACGGTTGTAAAATTCAATAGAAAGACGAACGAGCTAGCTCACGCTTTTGTCAATGGGAAGGCTGTAAAGATCCACTGCCTCAGACTATTCAGCGCCTTCAATCGTTGTTTAAAATATTGAACCATAGAGGAACACTTAAGCTCTTGGAACTCTTCCAACATAGAACGTAGCACCAATTTATTGTGGAGACAGTAGATAGACCAAGCTGTTACTTGTATTAATCAAAAGTGAAGTAAGTATTCTTATGGGTGTATTAATGAGGCTTCTACCTCTGAGGTATTATCTCCATAAGTGGTGTGCCGCGCATGACCACAGGATTGCGAAACGCTGGAGCATTGCCTTTGCGAGTGTCCGCCGTTCAGCCATTTGGGACATCATATCAGCCACAAAGCTCACAGCTGCCATCTCACGGATGTATTGGAAGAAATTTAGAGAATTTTTCAGAATGAAGCCAAATTTTTGCTAACACCCACTTGGTATATATATGAAGTAGCAGCATGAGCCTACTCAATAATTTAGATGCGGCCACTTGTGGTCAGGTCCTTAACCTGTCACCAACAAAACCAGCCAAACAAATAAATTTCAAAATGTTCAGCGTGAGTTTGAACAAAAAAAAGTTTTGAAAAACTGATAAAAAAATATAATTACGTTGCCATATAAAGATTCCATTAAATCGAAAAAAAACTTTATATTAAAAATATTTAAATTTTATTGAATTTTAATTGTACTTTGCTATAAAACTTTTGTTTTTTGCAGGGTTGCCAACTAATGAAAAGGTTGAACTCGGTTACTTGGAAAAATTAATATATTTGACATATAAATCAGCTTATTTATCATCACTGCCTTAGCGCCTGCGACAATTTCTCAATCTATTTTCGTAGCTGGGCTCGCATAAAAATCATCCTGTCGGTGAAAATGACTTCTGAGACTTTTCGTATTGCTCAATATCTCAATAAGATACTCATCACGCAGGGAAAGCACCATTAAATAGCAACAATGAGCATTTTGCAGGTTCATAAAGCAAATTTAATGTCGCATGAAATTTAGCAAAATAAAGCAATTGAAGTAAAAGTGAAATTTACGAAGTGAAAGAGACGTTGAGGATAAACTCAAGGAAATGAGCTTCGTAGGCAGCAGAGAAATCTCTTTTCCAAATATCTGAAAAAATTTGCGTTCTGCTTATAATCGAAATTTAAAGTTTCACTTGACATTAAGTAATTGAAAATGTCCGCCGACGGTCGGTGCGGAGTATGTCCTGCTGCTGATGGTGCTGCTTTTGCTCTTGTTGTTGCTGTTTTTTTGTTGCTTTTAACTGCTGTTTTGTAGTACGCTCGCGTTGGTTCATTCATCAAATTGAAATGTTAAATCGATATGACGATTGACAGGCAACATGAACGCTTAATGACAGGAACAGAGCAATGAAGAGCTGAATTCACTCACACGAACACAACCATTGCTCAGATGGGCCGATATAGCATAGTTACACCGATACAGGGTTGCTGGCTATGGTAAAATTTATTTATTTTTTTTCCTGACAATTATAAATACATTTATATATTTATTTAACACACACATGGACACATACACCTATACGCAAACATAAGGTTTATATGAGTTGGGCAGTTTTCCAAATTGAAAACCCCAAACGGCTCTATATAAAATCCACTTTGAATATTAATAAATGGAATAAGTATACGCAATGACATACACGTAACCACATACATACATACATACATATATACATGCATATGTTTTGTACAAAAAACATTCACCAACATTTCCATGTGTCAATGGCAAACGGACGAACGGCCATATTTTCCATGGCAGGCAGGCAGTAAATGAACCATTCAGTCGTTAAACTGAAAACGGACATTCTCATATAAATAAAATGCGAATCGATAAAATGAAAAGCGGGAGCAACAGTGGAAAAAAAAATATACAACAACGTTTTCGTGTACAAATATGCTTTTTTTTGCTTTAACTGCGCTTGTATGTCTGTATGTCATGTGTTTGTTCTATGTGTATGTATTTTTGTATTCGCGTAGAAACCGTTTCTCTGTGAGTTGTTGCAAATTGAAAAAGTATGGCCGCTCATTTCGGTAATTTATTGCCCGTCAAATATAAATTGTTGGGTACGTATTGTGGCAAGCAGCGCAGGATATGTACCACAATAATACATATTTACATACATACAAATATACAACACTGCGGGTGTTTCAATTTTTAAACTTCTTCCGGCTAGCCATTTAAAGTAAAATGCTATGCGTAGATGAAGAAATTCAATTATTCATAGCCTCTGCGTTGAAAGCTCATAAAAGCTCTTTAATAGTAAAAAAAAGGGAAATTTTGTGAAAATGAATTTTTTAATGACGAAAGATTTTATGAAGCAAAAGTTGAAAGCTTTGTTGTCGAAAAAGCGTTTGTTTGTGTATGAAAGCTTCAAAGTCGTACCTCACTCAAATGCACTTTTTTGAATTTGAAAGCTCCAATGTCGTATATCACTTAAATGCGTT